AGTTTTTGTGATGATGAATGCCACGCCAGTCCTCTTCTATTCGTGATTCCTGGCATAGTAGATCATATGGTTGTCTGATTCAAAATGGCCAAAACCAGCCCATTTCAGCTCACTAATGCCTAGGATATTGATCTTTATGCGTTCCATTTCATTTTTGACAACTTCCAGTTTTCCTAGATTCATACTTTGTACTTTCCACGTTCCGATTATTAATGGATATTTGCTGCTGTTTCTACTCATTTTGAGTTGTGCCACATCAGCCAATGGAGGTCCCGAAAGCTTTACTCCATCCTTATCATTAGGGGTGTTTCTACTCTGAGGACGCAGCTCTTCCCTACTCATATTCTGAGCACTTTTCAACCTGATGGGCTCATCTTCTGGCACTGTATTGGACAATGTTTTAGGGCTATTCATAAAGTTTTCCAGTAATATATCAGACGGTATTTCACTGCTATTCATAAGGTTTTCACTGGTCAATTTTTTGAGAAGTGGATGGCTTCTTCCTTCTTCCGAGTCTGTCTCAACCTGGAAGCTCTGCTGAAACCTGTTCACCATGGGCAACCCTGCTGGCATTTTACAACACTGGTGGCACAGCCTCCAGCTTCACAGCAAATACAAGCCACCACAGGATGACAAACAAGTTTGTCTCCCTTAGTTGTTCCTAACCGCTTTGCTCACTTCCCTGCCTATCCGGGGCCCAGCCTTGAAATAAAGCTGCCCCAGTAGCCCCTGAGGCGCATGTCCACCTACCTCTCTGGGGCCCGGCCTTGAAATAAAGCCACCCTGGAAGCCCCCAAGCTGCGCACCCACCTACCTCTCTGGGGCCTAGAGAAAGTCATGCTAGCAGATAATATAAATATAAAAAAAAAATAAAGTCTGGATTGAATCCCCATGAACTCAATTAGAAAAAGTAGTCAGTGAGTTGGGAGGAAAACCAGGAGAGCGTGGTGTCCCAGAAGGCAAAAGAATAAAGGATTCCAAGAAAGGAGGAGCTGTTAAGAGGTTAAGTAAGATAAGAGTAGAGAAGTAGCCATCAGCTTGAGATGTCACTTGTGATCCTGACAAAAGCAGTTTCATACGTGTGATGGGGATGAAAGCCTGACTAAAGTGGCTGAAGGAGTGTGGTAGTTAAGTTTGTGTGCCAACTTGGCTGAGCCTGTTTGAGTGGCTGGGTAGCTGGATGTAGTATTCCTCATGATGAGACTGATAATCAACTCCATGGGGGAATCTACTCTGAGCAGCTGAGTAGCTGCCTTAGGGATAGGGTCTGCTTGCCGTGTATAAGGAGAAGCCTTGTGGAATGGTCTCTAGCTTACAGCACACTTGAACCCTCCATGTAGCCATGCCATTGTTCAGCAGCTTGCCATGCTCTGTCGACCTTGGGACTTTCAATGGACTTGAATTAATGGCCTGCTGTGTGGTTTGGTAACATCAGGACTGTGTCTTTTTACTTGTCAACCATGGGTTTGTCAGTCTCAGCAGCCAGCAGCTGTCTGAGTGAAGAACAGCCTCTAGCTCCAGTGGGCCAGGAGCAGGAGGCAAAGCTGAAGCCCAAGGTTGAGAGGCTTTCACCCACCCCTAGAGCCTGGCACTTTGAACACGGACTTAAAGCCTCCAAACTGTAAGAGAATAAACTCCTGTTTGTTAAGGCCATCCCACTGGTGGTATGTTCTTGTCAAAGTGGCACCAGGTAACCAGAACAAGGAGAGAAAGAAATTGATATGGCTTTTGAGAACTTTTGCTGTGGAGGCGCGGTGTAGTAAATTACTTAGTGTGGCTTTTCTACCCATAAGTCTTTGTAAACTCCAAAGGTGGGATTTTCTATGAGCGATTGAGGAGCTCCTGACTGCTGAAGCTATCCACCTGGGTTATTTCTGTTGGGCGTGGCACAATATAACGTTCTGGGAGGTTCCCACTCTCTCTCACGTGCTCAGAGTTCTGATGCTGTGATTGGCTAGTTTGACCACCCTTCCGGGCTCAAAAGGAGGCCTCCTGGAGGCAGAACTCTCTCTGACTGCTGGTTGAGGAAGACATGCTGCTGAAAGAGACACGTGCTCTGGAAAGAGATACGTGCTGCTGGGAAAGAGACGCAAGAGACATGCATTGCTGAGTGAGACACCGAGGGACCAGTACTGCTGGGAAAGAGACTGTAAGAGACTGTTGGCTGAGGGACGGTGGGCTGGGAGAGAGACTGAGCATTTTTCCTGAACTCCAATTGTAGCCTGTGGTGCTTCCCTAATAAACCTCATAATCTGTGAGTTCTGTGTGGCCACTGCAGTGAATTATCGAACCCAGGAGAGTGGTGGTGGGTGCTTTGGGAGGAACGGTTGGTGAAAGGGCTGGAGGAAGGCAGCATGTCTGGCCTTGTAGGAATAGGTCTTGGGTTACTGCTGGTAATCCTGTCTTCCTCTTGTAGGGTTAGAGGAGGTCAGAAGATGTGGCCTCCTTGTAGTTTTTGCAGGAGGGAAGCAGGGAAATCAGAAGTGTTCAAGGGATTTGTAAACTGGAGAGAGTAAAGTATGGTATTAAAAACTGTTTTTTAAGATGGGAGCCATTTTTATTCCCATTCTCAGGTGAAAGAAACTGAAGTTCAGAAAGGTTAAGAAACTGGCTTAACTTGCTTAAGGGCTCAGAGCTAGACAGTGACTGAGTCTGGGGTTCAAATTTAGGTCTGAGTCCAAAGCTTGTGATCTTTCCACATTTCCCTGCTGCCTCTGATTTGAAGGATACTGAAAAATTAGATTAAGATAAAAGGTATGTGTTTTGGTGAAATAATAAAAAGAAACTAGCAATGATATCTTTATACCTTGATAGAATGAGAGGAATAGGTTGAAACCAATAAATTATAACAGACAGCTTGGCTGCGTATGCTAGGGACTACCTGACTCTATGTTATATCACAATGGAATAACAAACACCAGATTCACTCCAGTAGGCTTAAGATTAAAAAAGAATGGCAATATCTTTCACTGCTTTCCACTTACCTTGCTTTTTTTGAAGTCAAAGCTTTATTTTCATTCAGCTTTCTTCCACCACTTTCTATATCAAAATACACATTTATTTTAGTGAGTTATTTCTGTACATAATGAAAAACAGTTAATTAAAAAGTTCATTCTTTGTCCTCTTACCAACAAAAAAGCCCATATGAAATTTTTTCTTTAAATTTTCATTTAACAGCCTCTATTACGACACTACTTTCAAAGGATAAAATTACTTATTTAGGTGGTAATTTGTATAAAACACAATTATTTCATTTCTCAGCATTCAACATAGGACTTTAGGAACGGGATTGCATTTACTCCAACTACTTTAAAATCTAGAAGCTACTATTTTGGTGCCATAGACCTTGAGTACAGTGAAAGTGTTTTTGTTTGTTTGCTTGTTTTATCTTTCCCTTTGAAAACAGCTTCACTGTAAATATTTAATGATTATAAGGTAAAATCTGTTGAAATGATTTTTTTCAAGAACATAAAAATCAGCTGAGGAGAGGGGAATTAAATACAGACTGTAATTTTTGCTATCTTCTGACTACCAAATTAGGAGCCCCTACCATGTAAATGAGGAGCTCTGGTGGCATAGTGCCTAAGGCACTTGAGTGCTAACCAGAAGACTGGTGGTTCAAGCCCACCAGCCACTCCTGGGAAGGAAGGTTGGGCAATCTACTTCTGTAGTGATACCGCCTCAGAAACCCAAGGAGGGGTCGCTATAAGTTGGGTCTGACTCCACGGCACATAACAACAACAAAAACAGACCATGTAAGTGAGAGAACTACTATACAGAAGATATTAAATTGTTGGGGATACAGTATTCTTTAATGTTTAATACAAGGAATAGTTGGTACACACACAATATTTCATTTTACTAATAATGTGAAACCTAAAAGAGACACAAAGTATTTGATTAAATTTCTGTTTTCTGAAAGAAAAAATACCTGTGGTATTCCTTGCCCCATCTTTCCATGTATCTGGAGTGATAACAGTACCGAGTTTCTTTTCACCTGTTGTAACAGGACAGAAAAAGTAAGAAGTATTAGAATTTACTGTGCACTCAATACACTACATTGTCCCCAAGGTACACATGTCAACATTACAGTAGGAGTCCATCAGTGCCAGGGATTTGACCAGTGAACCAAGACTCAAGACATTAACTGTGGCCAACAAATAACTCTCCCCTCAGTAAAATTTGTGGGATGACAAGATGATTTATAATAGGCTTTCACTCTACAGGTGTACTTTAAATAAATCCGGCAAATATTCATTCAATAAATATTTACTAAGCATCTATGATGTATAAACCACTATCCAAGGTTCTAAGAAAAACAAAACAGTGAATTAGACAAAGCTCTTCATTTAAAGGAGCTTACAGTAATACACTGATTTCTTTAACAGCAGTTTTTAACCTGGATTCCATGAGTGGGCCTCAGATGATCTGTGACCAAGGTGACGTTGTTCACAAATCTTCTGTATATCCATTTTTAACTGGTGAGATTCCATATTTTCATCAGATCTCAAAGGGGTGAGAGACCCCAAAAAGATTAAGAACCAAACAACCAAAATATAAGATAGAAAATAAAAAGTGTAATAAACCAAACACACTGCCATTGAATCAATTCTGACTCATAGCAACCCTATAGGACAGAGGAGAACTGCCCTGCAGGGTTTCCAAGGCTGTAAATCTTTATGGAAACCAACTGCCTAATCTTTCTCTCACAGAGCTGCTGGTGGATGTGAACTGCCAACTTTTTGGTTAGCAGCCAAATCCTTTAACCACTGAACCACCATGGCTCACTAAAAAGTGTAATAGTTGAGTGATAAATAAAGTACTAAGAGAAATTTCAAAGAGGAAGAAATAACCTTAGCTAGGAAAATGCAGTCTAGGGAAACTTAATGGAGAAGGCAATAGAGAAGGTTTTAATCTGTGGCAAGGGGACTATGAAGGAAGAGGATGAAAGAGGATGAAGCTGAACTAGATGAAGGACACACTGAGAAAACGCATAGGAAGCTCAGGAGACACTTGGGCACACTCAGTAGTTGGGCTGGGCATACAAATGTAAAGAAGGTAAAAGTTAGTGAACATCAAGTTGAAAAGATAAGTTGCGACCTTTTTGTGGAGGGTCTTGAATGCCAAATATAGAAACCCAAGCATTATTCTCTGAACAATGGCAATTTATTAAAGGTTTTTAGATAGAGAAATCATAGATGGCACTTGTAGTCAGTGCAGTTCACACATCTGTTGTGCTTACTCTAAGCCATGTCTTGGCCTAATGATAATGGATAAGACACGGTCCTTACCCTTCTGTGCTACTGTTTAGCATTTAGTAGAGTATAATAAATGCTGGGTTCATGAATAAAAGAGGAAGATGAGAAAATGCAAGAGGGAAAGGTAAAGTCAAGGTTTAACTTTTTTGGGTAGAGAAAGACCTGAGCTTTTTTATATGGAAGGGGAGCTGATTAAAGATTCCAGAGGAGATAGTGACAAATAAAGGACCTGGAAGAAGTAGGAAGGCATGTGAGAAGGAAACACCATAATAAAAGAATAGTACAGTATAGTAAAAGTGAGAAGTTGAGAATGTTCCCATCTAATAATCTCAATTCTCTTAAATATATAAGAAGGTAAGGAGCTCTGGTGGCACAGTGCCTAAGGCATCTGATCGCTAACCAGGAGGTTGGTGGTTCAAACCCACCAACGATCCGTGGATGCAAGACTGGGCAATCTACTTCTGTAAAGATTTACAGCCTCGGAAACCCATCAGGGGTCGCTATGAGTCAGAATTGATTTGATGGCAGTGGGTTTTGGTGTTTTTATATAAGAAGGTAACTGCCAACTAAGAATAAGGTAGGTGAGAGTTAGGTGAAGATAAAAGTAACTGGAAGGTTTGGAATAGTCACTAAGGAAAAAGGGAAGAGACAGCTGACTAAACATAAGTAAAAACTGATGAACAGTATTAAATATCTGAGAGATTAGGAACCATACATCCTTTTTTTAATTTTTTAAAAATTTTATTGTGATTTGGGTAAAAGTTTACAGAGCAAATTCATCTTCCATACAGAAGTTCACGAACTTCGTCTCATAACACTGACTGTAATCCACAATGCAACAGCTCTCCTACTCCCTCCCCATAGCCACCTCTTTCCTGTCCTTCCCTCCCATGCACTCCTGCCCATGCTGTGGTTTTTAGTAACTATATTCACAGAATTGTGCAACCTTCACCACAGTCTACTTTAGAACATTTTCATCACCTCAAAAAGCACATTAAGCTTTTGACATTGACATATTTTAACTTTTTTCCATCCTACACTAAGCAGTTTTTGTCTTTTTTGAATGATTGTAATTTAAATATTTTAAAATTATGCACCTGCCCATAATTTTTATATTATGCAGTTTATAAATGTGTACGTTTGGCCTTCCATGTAACTTCTGTTAATTCTGTAGAGTGTAACTTTTGAGAGGACAGGAATTCTGGCTGGTTTCACTTACTGTATGTAATGCCCCTTAGTACTCTTAAGTGCTTTGTCCTAGAGAAATTGAAAATACTGGGAAAACTGAGAGTTAATTTTTCAAAGTATAATTTTAGGAATCCAAGATCTGGTGTGGTATTCTCCAAGGAGTGTATCTACCTAATGTAAACGTTCAGCTCATATGCCTGTCTTTTATTTGGCTGGAAGCTACAGGAGTACGTTCAATTCCAGACCTGAAGGGCAGCTAGGGGCCATAGTCTCAGGGGTTCCACCAGGCTCAGGAACCATAGTGTTTTGTTTTGTTTTTTTAATTTTATTGTGATTTGTTTGAAAGTTTACAAGGCAAATTCATCCTTCATACAACAGTTCACATATACTTTGTCTCAGGACATTGACTGCAATCTCCCACAACACAACAGGTCTCCTCCCACTTCCTCCCCATAGCCACTTCTTCCCTATGTCCTTCCCTCCCATGCACTCCTGCCCCGATCTGCCTCCCTGTTCATACATAGCCCTTCTATTCTCCCATGATTGCTCTCTCCAACGAGTGTATCTATCTAATGTAAATGTTCAGGTCATATGCCTGTCTTTTGTTTGGCTGGAAGCCACAGGAGTGAGTTCAAGTCCAGACCTGAAGGGTAGGTAGGGGCCACAGTCTCAGGGGTTCCACCAGCCTCTTACCAGACCAGCAAACCTGGTCTCTCTCTTTTTTTATGATTTTGAGTTTGTTCCACATTGTTCTCCTACTCTATCCAGGATCTCCTACATAGATCCTCCTCCAAGTAGGAACCATACATCTTTAATGGTACCAATTGATTCATTTGTGCAATTTCTCCCCATGGCCCTCACTTGCATATATAATGGTTCAGACAGAGGAGCCCAGAAATAGAGAGAGTAGTCTGAAGGGGAAGGAGGCTGGTGGGATAAGATCATATTAGTCCAAGTCAGAGTGCTAGAGATCTCAACTAGGATATTAGAGGAGGAAATAAAAGATGAGGGAAAAGCTGAACTATAGTATGGAAGTAAAACACATAGGAAATGTAGATTTACAATGGGATGGGAGAATAAATGATTTATGATTGAGACTTTGTGAATGGGTGACTGAGAGAATTATGATGTCATTAAATTATGAAAAAGGAGATACAGATTTGTGAAGTATGGTGATGAACTCAGTCTTGGAAGTATTAAACTACCAGATAACCACATAGAGCTTCCCAGTATTATTTAGAAAAAATTGTTCAACTGGTGCTTAGGTAGGAGAGAAGTCAGGGCTGCCAATGTAGATTAGTCAGTCATCTGCATAGATGTGCTCCTTGAAGCCCAATACTTCCAAAGGAAAAAGCAAAAAAAGAGTGGAGAAAACAAGGTCAACGATGGACCAGCAGCGAACATCTACTTTAAGGGAGGAAGGAGAAATAAGAAAACTGAAAGACAATAATGCTAAAGAAGCCCAGAGAGAAGTATGGCAGAACTGAAAAGTCTTTGAGTTTGCTGACTAGATCACTGGTGAACTTTCTAAAGTTCTTTCAGCAGTGTGGCAAAGTTTGTAAGGTACTCAAAAGCAATTTGGAAGCAATGAATGTAGCCAAGTCTTTCAAAATTTTACAGTGAATGGAAAGAGAGCCAATGTGGTTGCTTCAGAGTACAGCATTTTGTATAGGAAAGATAAGAGCTAACTGAGAGATACGAAAAGTATAGAAAGGACATATTTTTATTTAAGAACAAGATGGTATAGGAGGTAGGGAGATATTGGACCAAAGAAATAATAGAAGGCTAGACCTACAGAAGAGAAATAAAAAGAGAATGAGGCTTTATGACACACATCATGTCTCAGAATCAAATATGTATATTTTATTTTAATACCACACCAGATCTTGGATTCCTAAAATTATACTTTGAAAAATTAACTCTCAGTTTTCCCAGTATTTTCAATTTCTCTAGGACAAAGCACTTAAGAGTACTAAGGGGCATTACATACAGTAAGTGAAACCAGCCAGAATTCCTGTCCTCTCAAAAGTTACACTCTACAGAATTAACAAAAGTTACATGGAAGGCCAAACTTACACATTTATAAACTGCATAATATAAAAATTATGGGCAGGTGCATAATTTTAAAATATTTAAATTACAATCTTTCAAAAAAGACAAAAACTGCTTAGTGTAGGATGGAAAAAAGTTAAAATATGTCAATGTCAAAAGCTTAATGTGCTTTTTGAGGTGATGAAAATGTTCTAAAGTAGACTGTGGTGAAGGTTGCACAATTCTGTGAATATAGTTACTAAAAACCACAGCATTGTACACCTTAAATGGGTGAACAGTATGCTATGAATGATATCTCAATAAAATTGTAATAATAATAATTTTTTAAAAGGCAGTTCTGTTTAGCCTGAGGAAGAAAAGAGATTCGGGGATATGACAGCTATTTTAAGCATATAAACAGCTTTTAAGATCAAAAAAAGGTCCTTAGATAGCACTAACAGTTTGCTCTCAACTGCTAAACTAAAGGTTGACAGTTAGAACCTACCCAGTGGTACCTCAGAAGAAAATGCCTGACCATGAAGAAGAAAATGGACCTGTAATCCATTAAGATTACAGCCAAGAAAACTCTATGAAGCAGTTCTGTTCTGTAACATCATGAGTCTGAATCAACTGGATGGCACTAACAAAAACAAAATAAAAAAGTCCCAAGATGTTTTCTAGAAATTTCAAGGGTTTCCATTAGAATCACTGGATGGCAACTATAAGAGGGAAGGTATTTTTCTTTTTTTTTTTTTTTAATTTTATTTTTTTTATTGTGATTTAGGTGAAGATTTACAGAGCAAATTCACTTTCCATATAGCGGTTCACATACACTTTGTGTCATGACATTGACCACAGTTTACCACAATGCAACAGCTCCCCTCCCACTTCCTCCCCATAGTTACTTCTTCCCAGTGTCCATCTCCCCACGCACTCCTGCCCCCTGAGCTGTCTCCCTGTGCATAAGCAGCCCTTCTTTCGCCCATGATTGTTCTCTCCAAGGAGTGTATCTACCTGAGGTAAATGTTCAACTCATAGGCCTGTCTTTTGTTTGGCTGGAAACCACAAGTGTGGGTTCAATTCCAGACCTGAAGGGCAGCTAGGGGCCATAGTCTCAGTGGTTCCACCAGGCTCTATTGGACCAGCAAACCTGATCCCCTCCCATTTTTTTTTCCTCCAAATGATTTTGAGTTTTGTTCCACATTGTTCTTCCTCTCTATCAAGGATCTCCTACATAGATCCTCTTCCAAGTGGATGACAGTGGTAGCCAGGTACCATCTAGTTCTGCTGGTCTCATAGTCGTATAGGCTGCAGATCGGATGGTGTACCAGTCGCTAGGACTAATTGTTTCCATGAATTTTGGTTTTCTTCATTCTTCTTTGCTCTGGACAAGGGGAGACCCATCGTTGCATCTAG